ATACATATATATATATATATATATATATATATATACATATATACACATATATACATATATATACACATATATATACATATATATATACATGTATTAATCTGATATATATATATATCAGATTAATATCTCTAATCTTTCGTTTGTCTTCAATCGAAGATCGAGAGGAAGCCTAATTAGCATAAAACGGAGAATAGTATCAGGGATTATGCCACGTCAAAATCAAGAGGGGTGTTTGTGCTGGGGAGTTTGTTGGAATTTTGGCTTCCTTTTTATGCGTAATTCTTTCATTCGAAGGAAAGCGCTTGCAATGAGAGCTGTGCTCCGCACAGTTGTAAATGAAGCTTATCGTCTGTTGCTCTGCGTGCTCAAACCACTTTTTCGGTCCTGGCATTCACATGTCAAAAATACTGACACAAAAAGTTGATCCCTCGGTATGTGCCCTCCTTCCCTCTCCTCTAAATTCGCCTCTGCCTTTTTACGCCCTCGTTGCATAACAGCCAGACTATGCCACCGCTACTGCTGAATCAAAGTATATGACGGAAGGCTTAATCCCCTGGCGCTGGTTTTGTTGCATTAAAAATTCTACCTCCTGGTCTTTAGTTAAGGGCAAGTTTGGAAGGCCTTCGGTACATTTTATATCTGCGAATGGAGATGCTGGAAGAACGGCGTGCTACTGGAGCAGGTGGAAACGAAAAAACTTCTCATGCTTCGGCCAAGAAAAATACGAAGGGAAGGACTAGTGCAGCTTATTGGGTTACTCGATGCTGCTCCTCCAAGATGACAACGTTCTTGATTTCCACTGTGCTAATGCAAATGGTGTCAATGGCTGCCAAAGGCTCGGTAATCTTTTAAAAAAGTGTTTTTTAGTATATATTTGGACAAAGAAATAGTCAGTAGTGGTTTCTCTTTGATAGAGCGGTAGCATTTGCCAGATCTGAACGAACTTTTCTGTTCCCGTTTTGCTACAGGCTGATTTCCGGCAAAGAATATTTTCCAGAATTGCAGCTCGTGAATCTCTTCAAACCTGGTTCGCAGCGCGCTTCAGGCATAATATTCTTTTAGACAAAATTTGCTCATTTTTACATATCTTTGCAGCTGGTCCTGATCTGGATCTTTCCCGCCCAGGCTGTGGCTTCCATGATATTCACACAGTTTTTGTTTCCTCAATGGCTGTTGGAAATAATTACTGTATTTCTCATTTTGCGAAAGCGTGAGTGTTTCGAGAAGTCGCGGAAAAACACCAGTTCTCCAAACCATCAGTTCTCCAAGCCATCCCCGTTTACACATGCATAAGCACAGCAAAAATGAAAAACTTGAATAAGACTAGACTGGTAACGCTCAATGATAGACAAAGAGATTCATACTAATTTTAAAATTTGCTCCAGTTCTTTCGATAAATGCATAATCGTTTCAAGAAAGGATGTTCAGTATCTGAAGGCAGAGTACAAAAGCGTAGAAGAATAAGACAATAATAATGAGCAATAATGGCAGCAATAACAATAATAATAGTAAGCAAACCTTCATCCAAACGCACTCTCTATGAAAGGCGGAAACACTTGGAAATATTTCTGTCGTTGATTCATTTAAGGCTGTCGAAAACTCCTGGGCTATTTAAAAGGAACCTAAGAGCGGGTTTGACTTCCCGGCATGCCAACACCTGTTAACGCCAAAGCGAACACGAGATTCGAAGAGGGATTGGTTGCTTCTGTGATGGAATCAGAATCTCGACCTTCTGTACGACAGGGGTACTATTCCTCCTTGCTCCAAGCCCGCAGACTATGGAAAAAAGTATATTAGCTTTGGATAAAATAAGGAGAGTATGAATTAAGAAGTAAGGAGAGTATGAATAAGCTCTGGGTAAAACCCTTTGCAAAAAGATTTGAATGGCAAAACCTTTTCGAGTAAAAGGCGGGTAAAATCGAATACAGTTTCGGGTTACTACTTGGCATTAATAAAAAAGACGAATGCTTCTTAATGATTTTGCAGTTTGCGAGTCCAATCGAGTTGAAGAATCAGGTACAGGAAGATGTAGCCAACTGCACTAGTAGCCACCAGTCAATTCCGGAAGGATATTGGGCGACATCAGCTATGGTAAGCAAAAGCACTAAATAGGCGAACCACAGCCAAAATAGACTGTCTGTAGACGCTCACTCATGTGCAGTTTTATCGTGGTAAAGTTTTTTATGCTACTTCAAGATTGAAATTTACTTAAGGAAGCACACTAGCGAGAAGCTATACTTGTAAAGAGGCTCATAATGCTTGTAAAGACCAGTGCTTAAAACAAAACGCGTCAAATGATTTGCAGCTTGTAAAAAATGCAAACAGTCATTCACTCCAAATGGCTAGCCATTTTGCCCGCAACATTAGATGCTTTGACTCACTTATCGAAGCAGCCGTCTTGAAACAATCATGATTTTCTTACGTTTTCAGACAGATGCAGTTTTGGGGCGTTGTGACGTTGGTGAGGGTGATTCACTTCGCTCGAACTACCCCGGAAGTTTGCTTGACGAACAAATGCTCGCATCACAATCCAGTCTATCTGTGCCAACAAACGAAAATTTATTTGTTGCGGAATTGGCCAGAATAGAGCCTGCTTTATTCGAAACTGTCTGTGATATAATTTTCAAGCAATACGACTTCCGGCCACCCATAAACTTGCATGCCGAAACGGCGATCAGACAAAACAGGCAACTTCAGTCAATGCCGAGCGAAAAGATGGAATGCTCGTTGGCTGGATACTGCTGTCAACAAACAAATGTTAGCAGTTGCCGGTTCTATTTTTAAGGGCTTTTAAGCGCTTTTGCTGTGCAGTGTTACAGCGCTGCTACAGCAGTCAGAAAAGCATATTGACACAAGGCTGTCTGTGTTTGTGTCTGTACGTTCGCGCTTTTTATTACCCACTTCCAAATCGAGAACCAGAAAAGCTAGAATGCTAAAATTTCGGGGGTATATATTCATTCGCTGTATGACCCTCCCGCTTTAATATAACCTTTCTTGTAGGCCTGAGTCCAGAATACGGACGCCTCAAAAAAAGTATGCAAATTTCATGTTGAGAAGGCGATCTCGGGGATCTGACAAGGCGGAAGGCTGAAATTTTAAGAGTATGTTCCTTGCTCTCGAATAACTTAATGATTTTAAACTCAGCCTGCAGGCATGCACGGCTCTCACACACGGGCACGTAAAAATTCTGGCGGGAAAATTGTCAACGTGGGAATCGAAAAAGTTGGAAATCTGAAATATTGGGGGATTTATTTCTGTCCAAACACAACTCAAAAATTTCAAGTTTAGCCCGCAGGTTTGGGTGATTTTCATTTAGAGGCACGCAAAAGTTTTGGCGGAAAAATTGCTCAGTAAACAGCTGGGTAATTTTCAAATAATTTAAACGCGCTTGCTCGACAGCTGAGTTTAAAATTTTTAGTTCGCACGTGCATAGAGAATATCCTGCAAAATTTCAGCTTTATACCTTGCCTGATTCGCGAAGTCGTTTCTCGCCAATAAAATTTGCATATTTTTTTGGGGACCCGTGCGCGGGGTCTAGGCTCGTGTGAGGGAATATCTTGTAACGGGAGGGTGTCACGCGGGACAGGAAAATATACCCAAAGTTTCAGCCTCCCACTTTCCTGGTTGCTGAGATGAAAGTGGATGGCAAAATGCACTCGTTTCTGAACACACACACACACAGCCTCTCGACGGTGTGCGTTTTTGCCGGCTTGCACAGCAAAAACGCATAAATATTAGAGAAAGCCCAAGTCAGAGCCTACAAAAAGTTCATCACAATTTTGAAATTTGTCCCAGTTCTCCCGAAAGACGCATAAACGATTAAAGGAAGGATGTTCGGTATCCAAATGCAGAAAACAAGGGCGTGGAGGGAATAAGGGAAATAATGATAATGGTATCAATGACTAATAGTAAGCTACCTTCTTCCATAAGCATTCTCTATGAAAAGCGGAAACACCTAGAAGTACTTCCGTCGGTGGTTCCCTCTGGGCTGTCGATAGCTGTTAAAGCTATCGACTGGTGGGCCCGACTTCTTGATATGCCAACACCAAGATAACATCAAAGTGACATGCGAATCATAGAGGGATTTGCTGTCTTTTGATCGAATCAAGATTTCCGTCTTCGGCGCGAGAGTAAGGTGGTATTTTTCACTGCGCCATCCCTGCAAACTACGGAAAAAATGATCTGGAAGATAAAACCCAGGCTGGAACGCACCAGGCGGGCCGGTGCGATTATGCGTTTTTGCACTTCTTGTGCCG